GTGGGATGCGGGCCAGGAAATGGGAGGAAGCGTCAGAGAAGCAGCCGTGGCCGGGCTGCGGGGAACGGCCGAGTCTAAGTGCAAAGGCAGGAGCCCCATCGCCCGGTGCTAACCTTTCACCTTGGCTCTCACACAGCTCCCGGACGACAGCCGGCAGGTCAGTCTTCCCTCCTCTCTTCCCCCTGCTCTCCGGGCACGGGTCCTACCCCGTACATGGGGGCTGCGGGGAGTGGGTCAACGTCAGCGGTGACACCTGTGACCATGGCGGGCGCGCCGAGCCTCCTGTGGTCTCTCCCGCCTTCGGTTCTCTCCCCCCTCGCGTGAGTGAAAGAAGCATTTGCAGAGGCAGGAGGCTAATGCCCAGAACCTTCCACGCGTCTCCTCTCTTCCCTAAGGACCCCCTACCCCCACCCTGTATGCTCAAGCCCGAGCCACCGTCGAAGGACAGAGAGATAGAGTGCTGCAGCCTGTGTGGCTGTCCTGCTTCAGTTTCTGGTCCCGTCGGTCAGCTGCAGTTTTATGCACAAAGACGATGGCGCAGGCAGCCTGTGCCCCTCCAATCCAATTCTTCACATCCCTCCGTTTTGTATTGTGTCTGACTTGGCCGGAGAGCGGACAGAAGTTGCCTTCCCCGTGAAATCTCAAGGGAAGCAAGGTTTAAAAGTAACGAAAGTGGAAAAAAATGTGTATTAATTATGAGCAACCAAGTAGGAAGTGGTTTGTCAGAGTCTAGAAAGTGCTTCTGAGGCTCATTCAGCCAGGCCCACCTGTGCCTTGGCAGGAATGTCGAGGACAAGAGCATCTCAGCATCAGCCCGCCCCCCAGAGGCCCGCACGGTGTCTGCCCAGCTGCCCGTCACATCTCCTGAGCTTTTCTGAGCCCACACCAGGGACCTGAGACCTCTCCCCCGTGACACCCCCCTGCCCACCTCCAGGCTGGGCAAAGAGTCAGGAAGACCGGACTCCGCCCCAAGCAGGTCCCTGGGTCCTGTCGGCTCCCTTCCCACCGGCAACCAGCCCTGGTTTCCACCCACGTCCCATTCACCTTCATCTGCCTGACCCTTTCTCTTTCCCGTTCAGGAGCACTTCCAAAAGCTTTACTTCTCCTCAAACCTCCATGGTCCACAGCCTTCAAAGGAGAGACAGTGACTCTCTTCTGTAAGGATCACCATTCTCTAGCCTGGGAATACGTATCTTGGTATCACAATGAGACTCCCTTGAGAAAACAATCCGGAAAACTCCAAATAAGCAAGTCTGGACATTACAGATGCAAGACCCAAAGATCTTCCCTCAGTGACCCCGTGCATGTGCAGTTTTTATCTGGTGAGGAAAGAAGGGGGTGGGTCTCTGAAATCAAGCCCCTGGGCGTCACGTCTGGAGCCTGGGCGAAGGCAGGGAACCCAGACAGGGTTGCGAGCCCGCATGTGGCTATTCGGTGAGCTGATGCCAGTGGGGAGAATAAGGAGATAGGCTGCTGAGGATCGCGCATTGTCCATCTCCTCCATCCAGAGAGGAGTCAGTAACCCAGAAGCCACCAGGCAAAAAGGGACTCGGGTCTGAAGAAAGGTAGGGTGTCAAATTCCTCAGCTAACGACACTTATGAGGATGTCTCAAGGACCTGCTCTGAAAATTCGTTCGCTGTCCTAGGACAAGGGAGAACTGGGTACTGGGGCCACAGGGAAATGTTAGCGGAGGACGGTCACAGGTGCATGCAGGGCTCTTTCTTCATGGGTGGAAATGAGGCTTTGCAGAAAGAAATAGATGGGATATGTCATGTTCGTTCACTCTTTGCAGACTGGCTGGTCCTCCAGGCCTCACACCCTGCCTTTGAAAGAGATAAAGTAGTTCTGAGATGCCGAGGGAAAGAAGAAGAAGATATTATGGAAAGGACTTACTACAAAAATGAAGAAAAAATTAGCAGTTCTTATAACTCAAACATCACAGTATATCCAGCCTTCAACGATGACAGCACATATCATTGTACTGCTTCTGGGACATATATTTTGGGGGGGTCATGGACAGAAACTTCACGACCTTTAAAGATCCAAGTTCAAGGTAATGGCTACACTCCCATGGGTAATAGGGCTTGGCAAGGGACCAGCGTGTGGGATGGAAGAGGGGTGCTCAGCGGTGGGGATTTCGTGAGCGGCCTCTTCTGAGCAGCCGTGGGAGGGAGACAAGAGGTGGCTCCACTTGCGTGGGTCCCTACCTCTGATCCTGAGGACACAGGTCCACCTCTGCAGGAGCTCAGAGCCTCACTGCCCCAGGAACTACATTTGTTCATCTCTCTAGAGCTGTTTCCGAGTCCTGTGCTGACAGCCAGCCCCTCCTGGCCCATCGAGGGGAGCCCCATGACCCTGACATGTGAGACCTGGCTCCCTCCACAGACATCGCACACTAGACTTCAGTTCTGTTTCTTCAAAGAGCACCAGGCTCTGGGGGCCGGCTGGAGCAACTCCCCGGAGCTCCAGATCCCCACCACATGGAGTGAAGGCGCGGCCTCCTACTGGTGCCAAGCAAGGACGGTGATTCCCAGGATCCTGAAAACAAGCCCACGATCCCAGATACGTGTCCATAGTGAGTGTCCGCGGGGTCGGTCTTGCCCCCTGGGATCACGAACGTGCCTGAGAGTAACAGCCAGGCATCCTGCCATCCTTCTCTCCTGTGCTTGGCATTGGCCTAACTTCCCCGCAGCATTCTCTTCCCTCTGAGTTAGGTGATAGTAGTTATTGATCGTGTGTCCGGGGTGCCCAGCCCTGTGGGGGCCACAGACACATACGGGATGTGTTTCCTTGTGGGTCAACACAGAACAAGAAGTTCTGATGACCGCACGCAGCCCGTAGAAGCCCCTATGGTGCGTCCATGTGTTGGTTGAAAATTATTCCAAAATAATAAGAAAAGAGGAAGAGAAACACAAACCAGAATAGCCAGAGCAGGATGTGGGGAGAGAGAGGTGAGGCTGGAGGGACCTGTGGAGACAGGTTTGGGTTCTGATCAAGTCACGTCAGGGCCCACGCAAGCTTCCCGTGTTCTCACTTGCTCTGCCGTCTGGTGATGCATCAGAGATGCCTTAGACATAAAGGTCCATAAAACTTGACTGTGGTCAACATTAGGTTTAAAAGAAGATCATAGGCACGTGCCCACATTTCCCGAGGGTGGGAATTGGTGTGTGGGGGACAGGCTTTGCTCCCTTTAATAATCACGTACACAATCAATTCCTCAATTCCTCCTCTAAAAGACCCCTGCCGGGCACCTGGGGGGCTCAGTCGGTTGAGCGTCTGGTTTCGGCTCAGGTCATGATCTCACGGTCCATGGGTTGCAGCCCCATGTCGGGCTCTGTGCTGACAGCTCAGAGCCTGGAGCCTGCTTCAGATTCTGTGTGTCCCTCTCTCTCTGTCCCTGCCCTGTTCTCTCTCTGTCTCTCTCTGTCTCTCTCTCTCAAAGATAAATTTTTTAATTAAAATAAATAAATAAAAGACCCCTGACTATTGCACCTGCTGCTATTGGCTTATTAACGGCAATACCAGCCTTCTCCTTGGCCCTGCAGCACCTGCCATGGAGACCCTGTCGTGTCCTCCTCTGTCCTCCTAGGGGTCCCTGTGTCTGATGTGAATCTAGAGACGCAGCCCCCTGTGGGCCAGCTGATTGAAGGAGAAGACCTCGTCCTTATCTGCTCAGTAGCTGCGGGTACAGGGACTGTCACGTTCTCCTGGCACCGGGAGGGCTCGGAGAGGAGTTTGGGCAGGAAGACCCAGAACGCCCTGTCTGCAGAGCTGCGGATAGCCTCCGTGAGGGAGCGGGATGCCGGGAGGTACTACTGTGCGGCCGACAACATGGATGGCCCTGTCCTCAGTAAACGGATCAGAATCACACTGAGAGGTAAGTTCCTCGTTCCTGTCACTTGGCCCCATTCCCAAACTGGGGTTTAGGTTCTCTGTCAGCCACGAGGATCTTCTGATGGAAGCAAGGAACGGAGGTTTGAAGATTTAATGGCCAACCAAGGAACAGCAAAGATGCAAAGTCAGTCAAAACAACTTGCTTCTTGTGGAGAAGACTGAATAGCAAGGAAAACAAATAAAAATTATCCAGGATGCCTCCCCATGGTTCAAGGAGTACGTCTACTTTTAGGGGCCTTGAGTGGAGCCATTAATCTACCACAGTGTCACAGTGTCAGGGACCTTCTCTGACGGCCCCCTGTCTCCCTCAGTTCCAGTCTCACCTCCAGTCCTCACCATCAGGAGGCCCAGATCCCAGGCCGTGGAGGGGGACGTGGTGGAGCTTCACTGCGAGGCCCAGAGGGGCTCTCCCCCCATCCTGTACCGGTTTTATCATGAGGAGGTCCCCCTGGGGAGCAGCTCGGCCCCCTCTGGAGGAGAAGCATCCCTCAACCTCTCTCTGACTGCAGAACATTCTGGAAACTACTCCTGCGAGGCCAACAACAGCCTGGGAGTTCAGCGCAGTAAGATGGTGTCCCTCAGCATCACAGGTAAGCAGAATATGCTCTCAGCAGTCACAGCTAAGAACAGATTATGTCTTCTCACAAACAGAGAGGCCCCTCTAGGCTTTTTGCTGGGGTGGCGTCCCAGCAAACTCCCCACTTCTGCCTCCGCCTGAGACCTCCTAGGACTCTTCCTTGTGACCACACATTCTGCAAGTCATTTCTTCTGTCATTGTCATTGACAGCCATGTATTCCACTCAGTCTTTCTACTGGAGGCTCACAGACTCTCCAAAATACCAAATGTATGATGGCTCAGCAGATAGAAAGCTTTATCTCCAAATCCCTTTGTCCAAGAACAAATGACGAGATCGGTCCTTGCCCACGTGCTCCTCCACTACTCCCCTCCCATCCCGAATACTTCATGTCTGTCTGGATTATGAGACAGCGTGTCTCCTCACGGACACTCACAGGAACCAGACCTATAGAGCTTCCTCATGGCTTCCAGACTCTAAGAACCTCTGTGGGCTTCTGACTCCTTGAACGACAGGCTATTTCATCTGTTGTTCTCAGTATCCCCAAACAAAATTTTTCCTCGCCGGAGGACCCAAGGCATCTCACATCTCCCATTTTCAGTTAGCAAAGTGCGTGTCCACTTAGGGGAGACCCCTCATCCAAGCCAGGATTACTCTGAAGTGCCCAGCATTTGGGGGCTGGAGTGGAGCACTGGGGCATAGGAAAAATGGCAGGATAAAAGAGATAGGGCAATGACTTCCAGTGACTCAAACCCTTACATTCTCTGGATTTTTCCATGACCCCACATCACTGGCAAAAGTGTTGGACATGCACCCCAAATGTTTGTTTATTAACTATATACATGCACAACTTGACTAACTTTAAATGCGTGTTGTAAAAATGAGACTCAGAGAGATTAAAACTTCCAAAACATCGAGATCATTGAACTGACAAAGGGCAGAGACAGGACTCAAAGTTAGTTGGGTTCTCCTGATCCTAGGTCCATGTTCCTACCACTAAATCAGGCTGGATATTTCCTTTATTATCTAGTATGCATACTCAATTAATACTGCAAATGAACTGTGTTTCCTCTTTCAGTTCCAGTGTCTCACCCTGTCCTCACCCTCAACCCTGATGTGGCCCAGGCTATGGTGGGAGATGTGTTAGAACTTCGCTGTGAGACCCAGAGGGGTTCTCCCCCGATCTTATACTGGTTTTATCATGAGAATGTCATCCTGGGGAACACCTCAGCCCCCTTTGGAGGGGGAGCATCTTTTAACCTCTCTCTGACCACAGAACATTCTGGAAACTACTCCTGTGGGGCTGACAATGGCCTGGGGGCTCAGAGCAGCGAGATGGTGTCACTTAACATCACAGGTGGGTTGGGGGTAGCTGGCCTCCAGGTTACAGTTAAGGTCAAGAAAATATTTTTCCCTATAGACTGTACAAATTCTGCAGGCATCAAAGAGTTTTTGAACATGCACACAAGGCTTGGGACTTCCAGAGATTGGTGCTGATTTCATGGGGGAAGGATAAGGGAACTATTCAATCTTAGATGCTGATGCTCATGCGCTGTTATTTTCAAAATTACAAATTATCATGGAGATAATCAACCAAATGGAGAAATCAGAATCCGGGAGAAACCTTCCCTGAGAGATCTCTAGCCCCCACCGACATGTTGTCTAGATTAAAAACATTTGCCACTGGGACTCAAATATAGCTCTTCCCGTGTAGGGCTTTCCAAGAACAAAGTAACCCATATCACTGTGGGAGTCATCGGGTGCTTGCTAAGCATGCTTGGTCTTGCTGCTACGGCTGGTCTGGTGGGTCGCTTCAGAACCCAAAGGAAGTCAGGTGGGTGTTTATGTCTTGCCCTTTGGCATTGTGACTTTTGCCATCACTATGATAATTTGGATTTATGCGATGCATCCCATGAAGGTCATTATTCCCTTCCAAATACTAGACCCTCCGTTCTACTCACTGGCACTCTGTAGGCAAGTGACAAAATGAATTTCTCAATAAGGTTGCTACTCCATGTGTTTAATTTGAGATTTAAATCAGGTAGCAGAGTTTGCTTCCAATTAAAAATTAGAACGGTAAGTATTTACCATTCCACCCCTGGTCCAAAGCTTACTGAGAACCAAAGGCATAAAAAAAGAAAAAAGTCTTCATTTGTAAGAAAAAATAGACAACAGCCATAGACACAAACCATAAACTCTGAGATACATCTGAATGCCAGTCACATATTGTGAAATTCGGATAAAATTAATACAGGTGCTGAGAATGAAATTAAAATTTCAGTTTCTTACTGTTGCTACTTGTATAGAAACACAACTGATTTTTGTATATGGGTCTTGTACCCTGCAACCTTGCTATATACATATTTATTAGTTCCAGTCTCTGTTTTGTAGATTCCATCAGATTTTCTACATAGGTGATTCTGTCATCTGCAAATAAAGATAGTTCTCCTCCTTCCTTTCCAATCCAGGTTCCTTTAATTTCTTTTTTTGCCTTAATGCACTGGCTACAACCTCCCATACAATGTTGAATAGAAGTGGTGGACGAGAGCAGACATGCTTGTCTTGTCCCTGATCTTTGGGGAAAGTATTTGGTCTCATCGTTATGATAATATTAGCTGTGGATTCCTTCTAGATGTTCTTCATTAGGCTAAGGACGTCCCCACTATTTGTAATATGCCGAGAAACATTTTTTATAGAAAAACATTCTATAAATGTTTTTGTAGGCTAAGGACGTCCCCACTATTTGTAATTTGCTGAAAAACATTTTTTATAGAAAAACATTCTATAAAAAAAAACATTTTTTATAGAAAAAATGTTTGTCAAATGACTTTTCTACATTGATTGAGACGATCATAGGATTTTCTTTTCTAGTCAATTGATATGGATTTTGAGTTTTGAATGTTAAACCAGCCTTGCATTTCTCAAGTCAGCTTCACTTGGTCATGATTGTTGAATTTGATTTGGTAAAATTTTGTTAAGAATGTGTGCATCTATGGTCATGAAAGATATTGCCTGATAGCTTTATTTTCTTGTCATGCCTTTGTCTGAGTTGATGTCAAGGTAATACCCACTGAGTTACTACTTCTAGTGTTTTTCATTCTTTTTCATATTTCCATAGGGTATCATTTTCTTCCTGCCTGAAGTACTTCTTTCTTTTTCCTTGTTTATTTATTTTGAGACAGAGAGAGAGACTGATAGAGGGAGAGACAGAATCCCAGGTAGGTTCTGCGCTGTCAGCACAGAGCCTGAGGCAGGACTAGAACTCAGAAAACCATGAGATCATGGTTTGAGCCAAGGTCAAGAGTCAGATGCTCAACCAACTGAGCTACCTAGGCGCCCCACTGCCTGAAGTACTTCTTTTCACATTTATCACAGTATGGGTCTGTTGGGGAACCTGACTGATAGTGTTGCTAAAGTCTACTCTATCCTTACTGATTTTCTACTTGATCTATCAACTACCAAAAGAGGGGTATTGAAATCGCCAACTATAATTGTGGATTGGCCATTTCTTCTTGCATTCTATTAGGTTTTGCCTCAGGTATTTGGAATGTCTTTTATTAGGTTCATAAGTGTTTATATTGTTTGTGTTTCCGATGAAATGACTACCTTATCCTTGTGAAATGATAACTTTATCTCTGTTAGTATCATTTACTCTGAAATAGTCTTTGATATTAAGGTAAGTACTATTAACATGGTATTTCTCTATCCATCTTTTTACTTTTAATCTATTTGTGCCCTTATACTTAAAGCATTTTTTTATAGATAGCATAGAGTTAGTTCTTGCTTTCTAATCCAATACGTCAATCTCTACCTTTTAACTAAAGTGTTTAGACCATTTACATTAATGTGATTGTTGATAAGGTTAGATCTAAGTCTGTTATTTTGCTATTTGTTTTCTATTTGTCCCATCTGTTCTTTGTTTTCTTTTCTCTTTTTTTCTACCTTCTTTTCGAACAACTGAGTATTTTTTATGATTCCATTTTCTTCCTTTATTGGTTTATTAACTTTATAATTCTTTGTTTTGTTTACTTTATTGGTTGTTTTGGGTTTATAGTATAGATATTTAACTTACCACAGTCTATCTTCAAGTGACATGGGATCATTTCACATATAGTATAAGAATATTACCATTGTGTCCTCCATTCCTTCCTTCCTAGCTACATTAACGTTATTTTTGTAAATAATCACTTACCTGTTAAGTAGACTTAAGTATAATTTAAGAATCTTACATATTGAATCAAGTAGTTACCACTTCCAATGTCCTTCGTTCCTTTTTGTATCTCCATATTTCCATCTGGTATCATTTTCTTTCTGCCTAAGAGACTTCTTTTGACATTTCTAATAGTATGGGTCTGCTGGTGATGAATTATCTCAGCTTTTACATGTCTGCAAAAGCCTTTATTTTTGTATTCCTTGTGAAAGACATTTTTGCTGGCACAGAATTATAGGTTGAGAGTTTTTTCTTCTTTCAGTATTTTTTTTTTAATTTTTTTTTCAACGTTTATTTTTTTTATTTTTGGGACAGAGAGAGACAGAGCATGAACGGGGGAGGGGCAGAGAGAGAGGGAGACACAGAATCAGAAACAGGCTCCAGGCTCTGAGCCATCAGCCCAGAGCCCGACATGGGGCTCGAACTCACGGACCGCGAGATCGTGACCTGGCTGAAGTCGGACGCTTAACCGACTGCGCCACCCAGGCACCCCCTTTCAGTATTTTAAAGATGTTGCTCTACCGTCTTCTTGTATGCATTGTTTCTGACAAGAAATCTGCCTTCCTTCTTTGTTCTCCTGTGACTACGTTTTTCCTCTCTACATGATTTTTCATGGATCAAGGATTTTTGAATTAATGGACTCTTTTATCCAATGCCTTGGGTGCCTGTAAAGTTTCAATACTTTGTACTTTGGATTTACTAAAACCTTACTTTCTGTCTGCCACTCTGCTTGGCATAAAATGGCATTTCCTTTTCTATCAGGCCAAATGTTTCCGTTCTCCTTTTCTTAGGGCTCATACTGAAAATCAAGCAAACAAACAAATAAAATATTTGGATCTAACTTTAATGAAAAAGTTTACATATTTTTCTTAATGATGCTGGTCAAGCATTGTCCTTTTACCCTTCTTTTCATGTCAATCAATGAGCCTCTGTCCTGTTCTTTGTATGAAAAATAACACCAACACTTTATGACTGATATTTAAATTTTTTTTAACGTTGATTTACTTTTGAGAGACAGAGAGAAAGCACGAACAGGAGAGGGGCAGGGACAGGGAAACACAGAATCTGTGTGAGAGAGGGAGACACAGAATCTGGTGCAGGCTCCAGGCTCTGAGCTATCAGCACAGAGCCTGACACAGGGCTCGAACCCACGAACCCATGAGACCATGACCTGAGCCAAAGTCGGACACTTAACCGACTGAGCCACCCAGGCGCCCCTTATGACTGATATCTTAAAGCTACCTAGTATTTTCATAAATAACATTACCTATAAAACTACACGTGTATATCATTTTTTCAAAATTTTTTTAATGCTTATTTATTATTGAGAGACAGAGCATGAGCAGGGGAGGGGCAGAGAGAGAGGGAGACACAGAATCCCAAGCAGGCTCCAGGGTCCAGCTGTCAGCACAGAGCCCGACGTGGGGCTCGAACTCGCGAACTGCGAGATCATGACCTGAGCCGAAGTCGGATGCCCAACCGACCGAACCCCCCCCAGGCGCCCCTCATTTTTCTTAATATATAAGGAGAATAAGAGCACCAACACCAACAGTACTCATCATAAAATGTGTCATTCATTAAGAGCCCACTAAATGAAATTTTACAGCTTGTCTACTTCTCCCAATCGTTCCATAACTACATTCAATCCAATCAATATTATTATCACCATATTAGAGTGAAAAATGAGGCTACTTCATAAGTGAAGTCATCTTTCCAAGTTCATGTATCTATTAAGCATCAGTTGGGGTTCACCTGGGGATCTCCCTAGCCCTTGACTCCATGTTCTCTCCACTGCACCCTGGTGACTTATGGAAGGCTGGTTACACATCCTATTTTCCCTACTTTTTTGATCTCATCACCTATGTGGGTGGCATTTATTAATTAGTAACATACTACAAGTGCAGATATTGAAACCTTACTGCCGAAGTTGATAGTGTTCAAAACACCAGCTGGTTCAGTTGAAGCAACAGCAAACAACACACGGGAGGCAAGATTAGCACTCATCACTTCACGTGCTCCATGGGGACAGGAGCCCAAGAGTTTCTGACCTCCAGATCTAGAGGAGGTGTTGTTTTACATAGCGAGCTCAGTGAGAAATTCTGACAGTCCACCAATCAGGGGGCATCTGCCTTTCTCATTGCAAAATC